ATTCTGTGATGTAGAATAGGGCCCCACAAAGGTAAGAGAGAAAGAAAAAGAACTTACTCAGTCAGAGCCAGTAAAGGGTATGAAGAGTGATGACAGGAGGCAACCTATATCTGTACAGAGAAGAAACAGCCAGATGATGAAGATAATCTACGATAAAAGTATGTATGGTAGTCCATGTGCCAGTCTGCATGATCTCCTCAATGAACATCAGAAGTGAGCAGCCTGAGACAGTGGAAAAGGTGTCAAATTTGGTAAGGAGAGACCTGGAAAATATTATGGGAATCCTCATCCAAAGAAAAATATGCTAGATGTATGAAATGTTTTAGCCATACTGTGAGGGTAATGGGAGAAAGATCTTGAGAAGAAGAGAAATTCCAAAAGAAACAGGAGCAGGAACCATGAAAAGGAGCATTGCAGGCCATGTAACAACAAACTGCCCTGACAGGACAAAGAAAATGATCAGAATTGGAACAGGAATAAACATGAGAAATGGAAGAGAAACAGGGGTGAACTTTTTGTCTCTCTCACATGCCACAAATATTTTGGGGAGAAAGGCAAAGTTTAGATAAAGGAGAATATAAGAATGAAGGTAAAGAATATGGGAAGAATCATGAGCATATATATCTGACCACCAATGGCTGCAAGCAAAAAATAACAAGAAATAGGTCTAAGCAAAAGATGGTGCAAAAAACAAGAGGCTAAAGGAGGGAAGGTAAGGGCATGGAGAACAACATTTAGGTCCCAATCAGGAAGGATGGCAGGACGAAGAGGATGAAGAAGGTGAAAAGAATGAAACAGAACAGAAAGGAAATGCAAGAAGAAGGCACAATTAGAATGGTAAAATCAGAAAGTATTTGACAGTGCAACTCTGTAGCCACCAATGGTCGACAATGATAAGCCTTAGTTGAACAGCCAAGTGAAAACTCTGAAAGGTGGGGAATTGAAGGGCAGGAAGGGGAGAAACCACAATGCAGAGACCAATGATGGAGAAAATGCACTACTTCTGCTGATATACAAGGAGGGAGGAAGAATAAATGGAATGAGAAAGAAGGAAGGTTACACGTAAAGAAAGCATGAATTGTCTCTCAAGGGACTGGAAAAAAACCTATGATACTGCTGGTTGGGAGACAGAGGAACATTGTTGAAGCAGGAGGAATAAGGATAGAGGATGAAGAAGTGGAGGACTGTAAGAGGATCAAGAGAAGAAACCATGATTGAGTTGGTCAATACAGAAAAATCAAGAGGACTTGTGATGGAATGGTCTGAATAAGGGAAAGTACATGTGAGAGAAGATGAATAGAAGGGTAGGCATCAATAAAGAGATTGGACCAGTTCTGGCTGAACACATCCACAGCCAAAGCTACCAGAAGTGAAACCAAGGTACAAAACAGCAAGAGTTTTTGTATTTAGGTGAATGGCAAAAGAATCCAGAAGGGGAGTGCCCAGCTGAGAGCATAGGCACTTGAATACCCAAGGATCGAGGGACCACTTTATTAGAAAAATCGTGTTGGTTGCAAGAGATAATTGGTGACAATATTTAGGGTGCCTAGGATATGACAAACTTGTAACAAATGGGCCCAGAAAAGGAGGTCTAGCATGTTAAAACAGAGAGAATGAGACCTGGTGCCCCTTGACAACTGATATGAAAAACAAAAGCAGAGATGGTGGTATAAATCATTATACGTTGCCTATGGACTGTCAAAAGAAAATGATCCAAAACTGAACATATCACTAACAATTCCAAGAGATTGATATAAAGGGTTTATTTGACCTTGGACCACCAACCCAAAATCTCTTGTGAGTCCAAGTATGCTCCCACCCCATAAGGGATTCACCTGTAAATAGGTGAAAGTCCAGACTAGGAAAAGGAACACCTGTTGAGGTGTTGTCTTTGTTGAGCCACCAGGTGAAGTCAACCTGCAAGGAAGAAGGAAGGTGAATGATGGAGAACAAGGGACCTCAAACAAAGTTCCACAAATCATGCAGTATCCATTAGACAATGTATATGAGTACAACCCAAAGGGGTAAGGGATTCCGATCCCATGGAAGTCCAAGTCCCAAATGAGAAAGAAAATCCCATGCAGTGATAAAAGGAGAGGATATGGCTTGGAAACCAAAAGCTCCAAATCCTCCAAACAATGAGGAGAAGGCTGGGCCTTGCTGATGTAAGAATTGAAAAATACACCCAAATAAAGGAGATGCTGGGTGGGTATGAGATGTAGCTTCTCCAGTTTGACCAGTTGACCCAGATGTGCTGACTCCTGAAGAAGGGTATGGTCGTACAAAGCTTGTTGGGACAAAGCCAAAAGAAGCCAGTCATCCATGTAATGGTGAAACTGCAGTCCCAGGCTGTGAATGTGATGAGCAAAAGCTCTGACCACCTAACAGAAAATGTATGGAGCCAAAAGGGAGATCACAGAATTGAAATATCTGACCTCGATGAACAAACCAAGGATGACTCCTGAATGCCAGGAAAATAGGAATGTGAAGGTAATTATCCGAGATATCAACCTTGTTTCTCCATAGACCAGGAGTAAAAAGACCACCTTAGAGTGAGAAAGAACTCAGTGGTAAAATGAGGGAGGTTGATGAGCAATTGAGGTTTGAAAGATCGATTACTAGACACCAATCCTCTGTTTTCTTGGGGATGACAAACAGATTAGAATAATAACCTGGAGAAGGGAGACAAACCTGTTGTATTGCATTATTCTTCAAGATGTCCAAAATTACATCCAACAGACACTGGCAAAAAACTAAATGGGAAACAATGGAGGAGAGGAGAAAAAAAAAGATTTAGTCTCCCCAACAATCTGCTGCAAACAGGTGCCACAAGTGAGCAAACTGGGCCAAACATGCCCCAACAGGACATGAACCCTAGGGTTAGTCACTATCGATTTTTACAGTGTAGAAGACAGGTGTGAGAGTACAAACATATGAGAGTAGAAACACAAGAAAGCGAAACAGGGAGAGAAGAGGAAGTAAGAAAATGGGATACAGTTACAGGTGCAGGAGAGGATTGCAAAAGATAAGTAACCAAAGAAGAAATAGAGGAATGTAATGCATGGCCTCCACATACAATTCCAACAAATTGGGAAGACCCCAAAAAACAGACTGGCAAAGGAAAAAAAGCCAAAAGGTCATATAGATAGGAAGCAGGCAAACACCTGAGAAAGCAGTGTCCCTGCCTAGTAGGTCCCAACAACAAATCAAACTTGTATGGAGAGACAAAGCTGAAGAATATAAACATGCCAACACAGAAAAGACAAGAGCACAAGTATCTGCTGAAACTCCCTCAGGGGAATGGTGGTTAGCATCAGAAAGCAGGTGAATAGATGAGAGATAACACAGTAGAGTAGTAAGGGTAAGATAAAGATGAGACAATTGAGCAAGGGAAGGGTGAAGAGAAGTGAAAAGATCTGCTGATCCCTTTGCCTGAAAAAGAGACTCGAAAGTCTAAAAGTCAAGAAAAGGGAACTCAGCCCAATGGCAGGCTAAGGTGTGTGTGTCTGTCAAATGAGAAGGACAAGGCATGCTGGCTCCAGCACAATGGTGAGAGAGATAAACTGATCAGTACAGACCTCAAGGGAGGAAACAAAATAATCAGAAGCAGATCCAGAATGATGTAAGGAAGGGAAAGAATCATAAGAGAAAGAGACAAAAGGTAACAAACATGAGATACCATATCCAAGAAGGATGAGGTAGATCAATGGCAGTGGATTGAGAAAGTGCAACACCTGCTTAGGTAGGGGAAACAAGTTGTCAAAATTGTTGTTCTCTTGAACAGGACCCCCAAGGAAAGAAATATCTGTCCCCAGGTCAGAAGACAGACCAGCTGGATGTATGACTCCAACTCTTGATGCATATGGCTGGCACCTCCTCCACAGAAAGAGAGAAACCCGATGTCACAGTAGTAATCTGTCTAGCGGGATCAAGAATTTGTGGGTCTGCACCAGATGAAGTAATAGTAATATGAACTTGCAAGTTCATAATGTGAAAAGGATTGAAAAAAAGATAATCAAAAGCATTCCAAAAAGAAGTAAATACAACAGGAAAATAGTTGTCAAAAACTGAAATATTAATCACAGACCAAAGCGAAAAATGTGTTGTTTGCACATGTGAATGCCAAATTGAGATATGATGATTGTACAATCAGTATAGAGGGACTCAGATAGGCTATTGTGTCACACTACTATTGGTGGATGGTTGTCACAGTGAAGCAATAACATGTGGAAAATGTGAGTTTAGGTGGGAGCCTTAAGGCTAGTAGCAAAAGAAAATTCCTTATAGAGGGGCAGCAGAAAATCGAGGAAAGCTATTATGTTAGAAGAGGTAAATATCCATTGAAATCTCTATTTTCAGGACTACAATACTTCACTGATTTCTTTTTTGTAAAAATTCATTTTTATTTTACATTTCTTGTTTTCACAAGATCTTACTAGAAACTATTCCCAAAATGGTGTATAAACCATTCTCACTGCAGGTTTAACATTACTGATAAAAAATAAAACTGAATTACAGCTTTTACCTGCAAAGTTTTTTCCAACTAATTTTCATGAAGATTGCATATTTTATCCTTACAACTGAAATCAAAATAGTTTTATAATTTTACACAATATACAAAATAGTCTTGCATGAACATAGGATATAAACATTTTATATTTTACTTTTGGTTCTTGAAAATATTTAAAACGTAAAAAAAAAATTATACTCATAACCTCAACAATGCAAATTTAAAATGCAAGTTGAATGTTACTGATCTATGAAGAAAAGAGAATTAATAAAATTATTTGGATCATTATTACACTGGTAAAATTCTGTACTTTATAATACATGCATTGTATACAGTAAACATTTCTTTAAATTAAATTGGCAGAAAATGAAATATTTACATTAATGTTTATATACTATTTATAAGTAAATTTGTAATATATTATTTGTGTTCACTTTTAATCACGTACTTAAAAATGAGTTAAAAACATTTCTTAATCTTCAACACTCACGTCTGATCATTAGCAAAAGACGACGTCGACGAAGCCGATTGATCATAAAGAGTAAGAGAGCCAGAATAAGCAAGGAAGTGATGGCACTTGCAACTAAACGTAGACCTAGATTAGTAGCTGTTAAAGTTGCAGAACCTGTAGTCATGAATAAAAAAATATATTTATTTAACATAAAGTGTTTGTTATTGATAATGGTACCATACAGTAATATAACAAGTAAAAAAAGAAACTGTATGAAATGTAAGGATATCTTTTTTTTTACTTTAGAATCTATATTTCACAAATCCTCTAAACACATTAAAACCAAAAGAAAACTACACTGATAAAAAAAACAAAAGTATATTTTGGTATGTTGGATCAAGAATAAACATTACCAACTCATAACAAATCAAAAGAACCAGCCACATCAAGGACTTGAAAAGTTTTTTATATACTAACCCCAGTCTAGTAGGCATGGGAAATTTCTAGTCCAACTAATATTTTTTTCACTATAATGACTATATTATTACATATTTCAAATATATATACATAGCTATATTTGTTACAATGACTTCTTCCACAGTATTACAAAACATAAATATACAATTTACTACAGTATAAATGATACAGGTATAATATGTATGGGCAGGTTAACCAGTACCTACATGTACGTTATTGAATGGTATCCTGATGTAATAAAAATAATATGATTTAATTCAGAATATACAGAGAAGCATAAAATGTCTGTACAGGTTACCCATTCTACATATATTACAAAATCAAAACAACCATACTGAAGTCTATCATTTGGAACACCTTGCCCTCTTCAGTTGTACCTAGGAAAAAATACTAGAGTAACGAATGGACAATCCAATTCATTTTGCCTAAATACAGATGTTTAATCTTGTATCAATAATCATTATTCTCTTCTAAAAAAAAATAAATAAAAAAATTATCATGCAAGTCAGAAAGTGTTATGAATACAAAACTAAATAACTGGACATTTGAAGTTACCAATTTACAAGTCATTAAATAATGCATGTGTTCATAAATCACATGTGATATGGATTAGTCTATCATTGATAAACGGGCTACCGAGCTTACAAATAATTCAGTAAGAGTGAATACTTAAAGATTTGAAAGAAAAAATAACAAAAGGTAATATCTTTGAAAATTTGATAATTAAATATACACTTGGGTTTTACACAAATGTACAGATTTCATTTAAGCACAACTGCACTAGTCCTGGGCTAATGCATATTGAATTCACAGTGGCCTTCACTGAAATTTTTTAGTCCTGGGCATTGAGCTAATGGAGTTTTACACTCCTCCACCAATTTTTATGACCAAATTGTCCAAAATGTATTTCAAAATAAGTTTCTTTAGCATAACTTACTTAACAAACCTGAAAGAATTCAAGTAACACTTTATCCTTTAAACTATTTTAACCCTTTGACACATGTAATATTAATGACAGGTGTAATATTAACCACATGCAAGTTTGAAATTTTGTAACAAAATAAATAGATGGTATTCTCAAGTTTCATATAAGTAATAAGTATTAAAACGTATCTTTTATGCTTTTTATTGCATATCTAGAAATAAACCTGCCATTCAGAGATCTCTTTGTCCATAAGAATGAAAGTGATAGAGTTAAACCATATTTAAGGGTGAGGTGATTTTGTGAAAAAAATTAAGCCTTTATATTAATTCCCTTGAGTATAATATTCAAATCTCAGCAACTTTAAATGTACATCAACAGAAGAACATTTCGAAACCATGTGAAAATTCCATATTGAGCTAATAACGCATTTCATTTGATGGATTGAAGTCTTCTGGAAATTGATTTTTGATTAAAAATTCTAACAGTTCTCATGTACACAGAAACTAAACTGACTAAAGCAAATCTTGATAGAAAGTTTGTTATACTAAGAACAAGACTAAATTGTCTTAGTTCCACCAATATTTAAATTCAGGGCTCGTAAAGCCAGTATTAAATGTTATTGTGAAAACAGTAGATGAATTTAGCAAAAATCAAAACATAATTTCTTAGTGTTTACCATCCTAAGTACTCGTTGCTTGGTACCTATATGAACAGGTTTGTTAGTATTTCCCATTTTAGCTTGTTACTTTTTAATTCCTATTCGAAAATTTCATTAGTTCCTCAGAAAATAATTTCAAATAACTGGAAGAGGACAAACTTTATTTTTATCTCATTTATTTTTATTTTAATGTATCTACTTTACACATGTCTTTTGGAAATTATAATGGCTGAACTGGACAATTGTTTAATTGTTTTAAGTTAAAATGTATATATATATAGTTTCAATACTATAATAAATTATTTCAGAAAGGGTAACAAAATTTAATGAATGACTAAGTAAAATTACAAGTTTTAATTAATGTTTGGCTACTAACCGAACAGAAAATTTTCACAGAAAGAACAAAATAGTGTCATTCTAATGCATGTATCACCAGTACTTAATGCCTAATGCTATTGAAAAAAACACTGAAAAAGTTGATTCCAGGCGGAGCAGAGCTATTTTGAATATGCATACAGCACATACACAGGATTTTAAACAATTCATTGCAATTACTTGTGACTTCTGAAATTGCAGTTACATGTTCAATATTTGCTTTTACAAAAAATATATATAGATACCAAAAATGTTGAAATTAATTGTAGCCTTTTTTTTATTATTTAGTGACTTAAGACAGATTTTGAATATAACAACAACAAAGAGCTATTACCTCATGCCACTACCATGAAGACTGTTGTACATATCACAACCCATCCCCTACATGTACTGCTCCAACCTATGATGTAATTATCATTATACTATAGTGCTCCATCAATAGGAAAGTGACACATCCTTCATGTGCAGTAAACCCATGAATGCAAGCATTTGAACTAAAGGCTCATTCTTGAGGAAGCAAAATAAATAAATAGAAAGGGGGGAGGAAGTTGTGTAGAAAGGCAAGTGTCTGAAATACATTTTCATGTTAGGAAACTGTTAATTTAAAAAAATGCTTTGTCACCTCTTTGCAAAACAGAGATAGAATCTTACACTAAAGATGGTGGAGGGGCTGGTGCAGATAAGCAAATTACAAAGATGAACTCCTTTCTGAAACATAACATCAGAAAGGGAAAACCCATGAAGCATGTTATCCACTAGGGAGGAAGGTATAACCTAGTGAAGCATGACTCAGTGCAGGACTGAATCCTTCTCAAGCAATGGATATTCTTTGCTCACCAGAGGTGGTAGAGCAAAATATATTATCAAGAGAATATTTTGCACGGTACTAAAGTGTTGCATAGGCAGGTAAAACTTAAGATTGCCCAACTGGCTACTATATCACAGGCAGTTGGTTAAGCATGTGTGTGTAGTGTGGCTGAGGCATTCAGTGAGACTGTTCCATATTGGGAAATATCAACAGGAGATACTTACCAAAATAATCAGGTGCAGGGAGAAAATATCCCAGACTTGCATCTGAAGAAGAATTCAAATGTCATCCAACCACCAGAATGTCTTTGTTCATAATTTAGTGGCCTGTACTACACTTCCAGGTAACACCCAGTCCTACTTCTCATCGAGGGTTGCATCCACTTAGTCTCATACCAGTTGTGTTACACTGATCCAATAGAGAACTCTCCATACCACCATCACAACAATCAGAAGTGAAGAGATGAAGGTAGAGATACTAGAGATGACAAGGAGTAATTGATTGGCCATGTTACACCAAAGAAGATAGACATCGGTCCATTTTAGAGGAACAATGGACTAGATTGATGCCAAGGTCTCCAAAAGTGATATAAACCTTTTAAGCAGAAAGAGTAGCAGAGATGTACATGGTATGAAGACGTAAAAGAGATGGCTGAGCCCACCCTATACACTAGGTGAAAAAGACCCCAAGGTGAACCAGGTTCTGAATGTGGGTCAAGAAAAACTTGATCAGCCAACTTAAACAATTCACCTCCAAAAAAGAGTAGAGAGGTTGCTGTTGTTGAAGCTTCTTGGGATGGAGCAAGAAGGAGCCAATTGTTCATACAGTAGTGAAAATGTAAACCTAAGAAATACAACTGTCCTGCAAATACTCTCATTACCTAATAAAAAATGTATGGGGCTGTGGCTAACCCAAAGGAAAGGGCACAGAAGTGGCAAACCAGAGAAAATGATGGGCAAATGGATAAATTTGGATGAGGAAAAAAGTATCTTTAACATTAACTTTGGTCATCCATAACCCCAGAGTGAACATCTGCCTCAGAGTGAGAAAACCATCCATCTTGACCCTAGGAATGTCAAGAAATTGGTTTAAGAATGAAAGATCTATGTCTAAGTATCAATCTCCTGTCTTCTTTGGAATAAGAAAAAATCCTGATAAAGGCTGAGAACATGTTCCATAATATTCATAACCTGAAGAAATGACAAGGCCTCCTCTAGGTGCTGAAGATGCATGGGATTTTAGAAAGTGGAAAGACAACTGAAGAAAAAAAGAAGAGAAGTATGAGTGTCAAAAATTAGGAAAAGTCCATGATGAAGCACCTGTGTTACCCAAAGATCATGTGCAAAGAGAATCCCGTAAGCACACAATGATATTAAACCAAGATCTCACCAGACTAGACCTGAAAGTTGGCTCCAAAAGCAAGTCACTTCTGTGATCCACCAGTCCTTCAAGAGGTAAGATATCAATAAGAAGCAACAGAATGAGGAACAGGAAAGGGAGCAACCTCGGAAAACAAAAGTAATATCAGAAAACTACTGATGAGCAGTCTCAGTTCAATTTTATAAAGTGTTAGAAACACCACAAAAGACCTCATCACACAGGAAGGTTGCTAGATGGATGTCCCAGAGATAAGACCGAGAGGTATCTTGATTATGCAAATCCCAGAAACAAAGAAACCAAGTCAACAGAAACACTGCAGAAGAAGATATAGAAGGCAAGATGGCAAACATGTAGGAGCAAATGTTCTCAGTGAATCTGTCAGGGTCATGATGTAGAGTCTCTAAGAGAAGGTGAAGTGTAAACAAATAGTGAAGGAGCTGAGTAAGAGCATGATGAAAACAAGCAAACTGAGGACAAGTAACAGACAAAAAAAGGAGAAGAGAGGGAAACCCCAGCTAGAAGGAAAGACTTGAAGATTGAATCTCTAGGAAAGTAGATGAATCATCACCATAAGTCATAGTAAAAGTCTCAAAAAGTCAAGAAAGACAAGGCTACTGGGGGTTCAGTGTGCAGCTGAGACAAAAAAGTATCAGCATCAACATAAATGACAAGGAAGGGAGGAAAGAGAAGACAGTCAGAAGAAAGAGGCTCAAGCAGTAATGTGGTCCAAGACTCATCCAAACGAACTGAAGAGAGAGAGAGAGAGAGAAATAATGTCTCATACCTGAGTAATCAAAGCAGCAAATGATGAAGGTGGGGTTACCTGTTCCTCATCAGAAGGAGAAGAACCAGAAGCAAAGGCAGGCAATGTATACAAATTGTTGAAGCAAGAGGTAGGCTCAGCCAAAATAACAAAAAAGGAGGTCAAGGAACCTGGATCCAACAGGAAGAAGGCAGAAAAGAATGATCTACAAAACTTTTTTTAAATATGTAGATTAGTAGGAAGTGAAGCTAAAAGTAAAAGTTCTCTAATACAAACTAGAAGAGGGAGACAATAAGGTTTAACTGGAAATTAAAGAACAAAAGGAAAGTAAAAGTCCTACAATTCCAAAAACAGAGACAATGTGAAACAAGTCCAAAGACAACCAGTGCCAAGGAAAGAAATGAGACTTTGTTTAAATGCTCATAGGGATTACTGTACATGGAGGATGTGGCCCTCTCCTATCGATGGAGGGCTATAGTCTGATGATGATTGCATTGTAAGCTAGAAATACACATGATATTAGAAGAGGTGAAAGTTTCATTCAGAGCTTGTGTTGTGCACAAAATCATGGCAGTGATGCAAGGTAATAGCTCTTAGTTATGCAGAAAGATGAATCAATGTTTTTGAAAATATAAGCATGTATTGTAAACACATTCTAATAACATTATATAGTACAAAAAATTATAGTCTTACTTACCATCGTAAGCTGGAAAACTGCTATTTTTACCTGGAAAATGGGCAAAGTTTTCATCATTACAGACAAACTGGCAACATTTGTCATCTTCAGCATGGTATTTTTCACAATCTTTTGGTGGAGAACAGAAAACAGAAATGCACATTTCTGGTATTCCTTTTAAGCAGGTACACTGTGTACAGGGATCACTCTCCATTGGGAAATATTTGTCACCATAGCGAATTGCATCACCTTGACGATCAAAACAGGTTGCCTCATCCATTATTAGGCCTGCAATGTTGATATCACACTCTAAAATGTAGCTTGAGTATTAGGTAACCTATTACATATTCTTACATGAACATTTGACACAGAAATAAATTTAATGATTTAACGACAATATTAATTATACACACTGGATCACAAATCAAGGAACCTACTAACCTACTTTTAGAAGATAGACATTTCACCTTCGTAGGTAACTTGCAAATAATTCACTCAGTCTAAAAGTACTTGGCTTACTGATTTTCTTTTTATTTGTAGGCTATCTACATTTTAACTATACACTGTACAAGTTTTAAATAACCATAAATATATCCACTAATCTATGTAACTATTAAAATTGTAAAAAAAAAAAAAAATGAAAAATTTGCTAATATTTAGTATGATTCAAAAATATATCAAACTCTGCATTACAAGTAGTAGAGTATATGTTAAATGATGAACATTAAATGAGTACTATAGTATAAAAACATTCCATAATAAGACTATACAACTATACTTTATATAAATTCTGACAAAAGCTACATTTCAACATATTAGGAGTAATAAGCAACTTAAGATGATTGTCCGATTACTTTCTTGCTTACTTCAATGAACCTGTAAATACAACATGATGTTAGAAAGCACATAGGTTCAAGAAATCAATTTAATACAAATATATAATACTCTATAACCCAAGTGCTTTCAAAAGGTGGACCATTTTTCTTCATTCAGTTTGCCCTTGAAGAAGAAAGGTTTACCTTTTGAAAGTACTTGGGTTAGAGGGAATTGTACCCCTACATATACAACACATATACTTCATAATTAAGTACTACTATACCTATAAATGAAAAGTTAAAATTTTATTATTCTCATTACTTTAATCATTTCTGTTTATGTAAATGCTATATGATAGGTTGAAACCTATATGCCATTTGATGGAATTTGGGTGAATGAATTTGTGAGATCCAGTTTTTGGAGGGGAAGAAACTCTATGGGATAGATGGTCAGCATTTGATTAGGAGAGGAGTTCTTTTTTTGCAAAGGTTATGATAGAATTAATGTTAATTTAGAAGTATTTCAGAAAAGTACAGTTTCTAATATAGTCAATGAAGATTATGTGAGGATGGTTAGATTGACTGATTAGAATAAAAAGAGTTCAGAAATCATGATGAGTCACCAACAGGTTTAGTATGAATCCTCATTTTATATGCATAGGGTTAAATGCTATTATTCATATGTTACAAGTATAAGAAATAAATGGGTGAATTCACGGCTTTAGTTGGGATGAAGGATTTCGGTGCTACGAGGATTGCTGAAATTTGACTTGGAAAACAGTATCAACAAAAATCATTTGGAAATTCCTGGGTACAACTTATTAAGTAGTGAAAGATTATTTAAAGGAAGAATCACAGTAAATGAGGCTGGACACAATGAGTAGATACGAATAGTCTGGAGATATAAGAATAAGAAGTTTGTGTTAAGATATTGCTATAGGCCACCTACTCAGACTCAGGAGGTTGAAAAGATGCTGTATATAAAAATAACAAATGCTTCTAATTAAAATACTTTAGTTTTCAAGTGTTATTAATACTTGGCAGAAACCTTTCAATCTTAGCTAGCTGGTGTATCTGTTTAATGCACAGAGAAGACATACAAGCCCCTGGGGGCTTGGTCAAAACACAAACCATTTATATCACTCCCTGGATGACCCTACAGGTACATGCAAGGTATGATAATTATCAGTCCAGGAATTTGCCAGTTATAAGCAAACACACACACACACAGTCTTTTGTTAAATCTATATATATAAAAGAGGAAGTTTGTTTATTTGTTTATTTTGTTCGCTATAGGAAACCAAACGGTTGAACTTACAAATTTTAAAATAACTTCATAATAACCAGTTTTTACAAGAAATTTAATGGTGCTATTTATTTTGTATTTGGTGTAGTATTTAATGATGAAAGTGACAATTAATGATTATTGCACCATTTTTTTGTAATAAACATACAAACATAAACATGTTTTGCACATAGAAAGCGTTATGGCGGGAGACACTCAGATCACCTTTCAGTATTTACAAAAACAGTTTTCTTTAAATAGTGATAAGTGGTTTCATAAGTGATTTAGTAACTTTGTGAATTGCAAATTATTGTTTAGTGATACAGGTGATTATGCAACCCAAGAAACGCCCTTTCTATGGAAAGT